GGTGTGTGTGTGTGTGTGTGTTGGGCTGTCCTGTGCACTGTAGGGTGTTTGGCAGCATCCCTGGCCTCTAGGCACTGATAGTAGCCATCCCCACCTATGACGACCAGAAATCATCTCCAGACACTGCCAGTGTCCCTTGTGGAGATATCAAGAGAGACTTTTGACAGAGGGGTTAGGGGAGAGAGAAGGAAGTGTGAGCAGCCAGTCACTGAACTTGCTTTATGGGAGACTTTCACACACAGAGGGAAGGGCAGCACAGCTACAAATATGACAGGGAGTCCAGTGAGGGAGGGCGGGGGCTGGTAGAAGCCAAGCCCGTGCTGATGGTCTCTCAAGGGCTGGTAACCTTCTGCCTTTTCCTTAAAAGGTAACAGGGCTACTGGACAGAGACCCCTAACCCATAGTTACTGGTGACAGTCACTGATGGCGCACACCCTAGGTAGACCTCAAAGTTGTGACATCAGCATTAAAAAGACCTCTTTCCTCGATTCTTAAATACAGTCCATCAACAAATGTGACCTACTCTCTCTTGTTGACCCCACCTACCAGAGGCTGACCTTTTGTGACTCTGTGACATGAGGTGAATAAAGGAATTCACGATGAGAAGGATGTGGATGTTCACCATCACCATGACTGCCCCAACACTAACACCGCTGCTGTTGCTATGGCTACTATCGCTACAGCTGCTGCTGCTGCTGTTACTGCTGTTACTACTATTACTACTGTTACTACTATTACTACTATGCTGCTGCTCCTCCTCCACTACCATCACCACTCCATTTATTGAGCCCTATGCGTCAGCTATTATTCTAAGCACTTTACATGGATTAATGCATGTGATCCTGCCAACATGAGAATTGTGTTGTCAATCCCATCTCCATTTAGCACATGAGTAAACCACAGCACAGACAGGTTAAGCAACTTGTCCCACGTGACTACAGATCCACGTCCAAACCCAGAAAACCTGGCTCCAGACACGATGGCTCTTATCCACCATGCTATGCTCCCTCTTAAGGACCACTTTGGGCATGCTAGCCAGCAAACACCTCTGACCTGCTCCTTCTGAACACACTCAGATTAAACACAAGGCAGAAGCCAAAAGGTTTTGTGAAATCGTATCCCAACCACCCTCGAGACTCACGGATGCCACTGTTCTGTGAGCAACTCCAACACTAAACATAATGAAGAACTTGTCTTTATCTTTTCCCTTAAAATGAAAATGGAATACAAGGCTATCAAACACCTTGGCCTTTACCTGGGTAGGCATCTTTTCTCTCCCAATCTGAAAAGAAAAAAGTTCATTTTCAACTCAGGCAGTTATCTGAGTCACTATTTTAAGGCATTTCAACACAAGATAAAAGATACTGAGTCAATAAAACACACAAGGACAAAGATGATCCCAAGCCTCTCTTCGTATCCTTACCAACAGGCTGGTACAGAGCTTGGCACGCTGCAGTCATCACTAAGTGTGTGTTATGTAAGGGAATAAGTGATTGAATGAACAAATCAACAAATAAATGAGCTACAGTCTTCCCACAAATAAGGCTAGACAAACTGTATCTTTCTAGGTGATGAAATTGTCTCTCATGTTCGAATTTTACAGTTAAACCTGCAAGAACTGTTAAGAGTTTTATTGCAATTTTAAACTAATACCAGAATATTTTTGTATGTGTTTTAGTCTTAATGAGAACCCATACATTTGATAAGACTGAACATTCAAGAATAATTTCTATACAGTTTAATAAAGGAATGAGGGTGAATAAATTCCTCCAAATTCTAGTATAACATTTTCGTATTTATCACTGTTTTACAGTTATTATACAGTAAAATGCATCCTCAGCAGGATTACAATTTCCAATTACTAACAGGCTTTTAAATTTTTGTTTGTGCTTCAAAGCCTCAGCAATAAAAATTTAATCCCAACATGACAATTGCAATTCTGCATTCCTATAACTTACTGTACATGATAAAGATGAGATCAAAGTAGTCGAAAACATTTAAAATGTTCCCCCTGGGGAAAGTAAGCTTTGGTTTCTATCACACCAGGACTTTTTTGATCAAAGGAGACATCGACAGACTCTAAAAACAGGTGCTCTGGCAGCTTCTGTGAATTTTCATTTCTGGAAAGCCATGACATTAAGGATAAGAAGGGTCTGGAAGACGCTGCCACATCCTTGAGCAAGATAGCCAAGGAGAGATCACTGCCAGCTATACTTTCTCCCATAGCTGGAGTCCAAGGAGACAAGATCTCAGTAGAAAGGGGGTCCTGCTGGTGGGAAAAGGTCTATCAGTTTTTATACGTTTCTCAGCTAAACCCAGGAAACTGGGTGGTAAACCCTGATTGCCCAGATCATCAAGCCAATCAATATCTGGGGATTTATCAAGAAAGGCTGTGCTTGGGGGCAATGCTGGCCCCCCACCACGCTCCCCTGGGAC